TAAAGACAAGCACATTTCTGGGAGCTGTTTTCAGGTAAACTTGCAGCTTTGGGGCAAGTGATTCAGACCCTGGGTCTGTGTTGGAGCAGACTCGAGTGTCTCGCTCAGCAAGACAGGATGCTGGAGTCCTGAGCTGGCAGGGAAAACAGAAGCAGGGGTAGTCTTGGCACATCAGGTGGCAGCTCCCAAGGGGGTTTCTGTGATCCAACCCGTCACACATATGATACAAAGTGCCCCATGTATCCCCCTGTTGTGGAATGCACCCCTTGTGGCAGAGCTGTGCTTCAGAATCACAGCTTTCACTTTTAAAGACCATTCTAGCCCTCATAGTACACTTGGCTCATTTTTTTAAGTTAACCAAGTCAGTATTATCTTCCTGAAACAATAGTTCTGGGAGGTATACATTGCCCATTCAACTCAATAAGGATGTTTTTCTAAGTGATATGCTCTAGTCTAGTTTAAACAGGAACAATTCAGGGAAATCCTATGGCCTCCATTATATAGGAGGTCAGACAAGATGATCACAGGCATTTCTGGTCTTATAATATATGAACTCTGACAATTTAAATGCCAATATTGTTAACAATTTCACTGCTGATTATTTTAGCAGAAATACACAGCTGATTTGCTTACACAACAATTCAAACAGTCACCTACACCTCCACTGGCACCAAAAGCCACAACTATCCTCAATCCAGCTGCCAAAGTCTCTGGCTTCCCCCAACTTCTATGATGCAGTTAGTCCAGCAGTTCTCAAACTGTGGGTCGGGACCCCAAAGTGGGTCACGACCTTGTTTTAATGGGGTTGTCAGAAGTGGGTTGGGGTGAAGCTTGAGAACCCCTAAGTTAGTCTGATATTGACAATGCCTGTGTGCAATACTGAAAGCAGAAGGACAACATAAAAAAATGAATTTAATATCAAAACAATTTTATAATTTTCATATTAAAGTAAAAGACTCATTTTAAAAAATTATCTGGCGGTGTGGCAGAATTGCCAGGCTGCTTTACCAGAGTACCACAGAATCCAGGAACCTTGCAACAGAATCAGGGCAAGAGTATGTGAGGTCTTACCCACTATACAGCCTCCGAGTGATGTCTAAGGGCTTGTCCACATTTGAAAGTTAATTAAGATAGGCTGTGAATTTAGCTGTTCTTGTCCAACTCCATTTGTGGACGCTATTATTCCAGAACAAGAGTGCTTTATTCCTGTTAAGCTTAACCAAGTGGCTTACCTGAGTAACCCAGGAACTCTCTCTATGTGTAGCAAACCCTTAGTTACACAGCAGTGAGGTGTATCAAGCTGCTCATTTCAAGCAGATTCAGTCAAGCTGTTGAGATTCATTCACATGCAACTATCAGGAGAAACACCACTTTCAAATCTGCCTAGTCAGCATACAATTTATACAATATAACCCACTATTATCAGATCTAACACTCAGTTTGGTCATCAGTGATACGAGTTAACAGACTACAGAGAATGTAGTATGTTGTAGCCGTGGTGCTCCCAGGATATTAGAAAGAAAAGGTGGATAAGATTATGTCTTTTATTGGATCAACTTCTGTTGGTGAGACCCACCTTGTCAATCTACAGAAAATTTAATTAAACCACAAGAATTAGCAGGTTATTCCTCAAGAACTTATCAGCTACAGTGAGTCAGATCATCTGCAGAAAACCAGAAAGTGGTATAACTTTTATTGCATACAAGAAAAAGACATTCCATTGCCTGAATATATAAGAGAAGTTCTAAAAGTCAAATAACTCAACCTTATATATAATTGCTTTACATCTACATTTTTGTTACATTTGGTAAGTGAAAACTTTGATCTAGTGGTTGGCCAAAACCAACAGTAATTCACAGGATTTCAGGCCTCTCTCCCACCATTATATATATCTTGGCTAACAATAATCTACACCAGGTTTAAACCCAGTGATGATCTGAAATAGTTTAACTTTAACCCCTTGTGGTGGAAAGGAGAAGGATTTAAAAAAAAAAAAAAAACTTGAAAAGGAAAAGAATATTGCTCCCCTTGCTAAAAAAAATGGTCAGAAAAAAATACGGAAATCCGGGAGTGGGTGGTGGGGGGGGGGGGGGGGGGAAATCACAATTCTTTGAATATTTCTACATTGCTACAAGACTGTGCAGCACGATGACACTGAACTCTATTCATTCTTCATTGAATTACTTTAATTTAAGATAAGATTCTCCACAGATCAGTTAATCTGACCCCACAAAAAATAAAATAAAATAAAATCAGATTTAACAACCCTTCTTCTTGCCCCATAGTCAATCAAAAGCAGGCACTTGAAATTCCACCCATGCTTTACGTGAACTATGTGAAGCATTAGTGATTCACTTTACATTGATTCCTCTGTTTTTTCTGCATGTTCTTGATTAATTATTATACTGGTGTTTTAGCTAGCCCAGACTGTGTCTGGACTTTTTTTTGGGGGGGGAAGGGGGGTGTTCATTTAAAAAAAAAAAAGTGACTCATATGCTGACTTTATCTTCCACATTATATATTTTAGCTTGCCTTTTCTCCTTGCTTTGATTCACATTGATTTTTCATTTGGTTCTTTTAAGTGAGTGTTGGGAGAGAAGAAAATAAATATTTAATGGAATTCAAAATAATCCTGGTATCAAGACATTTGTATCATTTATAACCCTGATGGGACTCCAGTGTTTGATAACTACATTTCTACCTCAATGTATATCATCAGCCCCTAAAGTTTCAAAACCCTGCTCTAATTACACAACAGGCGCTAGCAAATCTTTCTACCCAACACATTACTGTATGTCATTCTTAAAACACAAAATGCCATTGATACAGGCAGAAGCGTGCCACATATTTCATTGGGACTCCGCGTATTACTTAAGCAGTGAGACACAACAGGCAGTGCTTTTCTTGGCAATTACAGCGGAGCTGTATGTTGGAGCTAGGATGCTGAAAGTCAAGTCATTTTATCCACCCAAGAAGTGAAATAATCACCCTAAAATTCACCATCTGTGGTAGCCTCCTGCTATTATGAAATTGAATAAATACAGAAAACAAACATTTGTTAGCATCATGAGTATCAATGTCAGATCACAGAGTCATAAAGCTCTAATTGAATGTTTTGAACCTATTTCGATTTCACTGAGATACATGTGACATGGCTTTAGATCCAGCCACCAGCACAGCTTTCCCACAGTCACTCTCACACTAATGTCTATGCCTAGCAAATGCACAGATCTGGCACTTTGCTGTCACTTCTCTTCACCCCCCCCCCCCCCCAAACAAGTAACCCATTTAGGCTAAAGCTCCACACACACATCTTTAAATGTCAAACAACACTTCAAGGTACCTGCTTATATGATTTACACTACATTTTGTGAAAGAAAAATATCTGTGTCTTGGCTGACAATTTATACACCCATTCTGAGTCTGACATGATGTATAAAAATTACAAACTGTAACATTACAAAAATAAATTTATAATGAAAACACAAAAAAATTCAGCTGCAGTACTTCTAGCAGGAATTCCGACAATAAATCAAATCTTTGTCACAGAATGGATGACATATATTTAAAGAGCTTGCCCAAGCTATCCAAAAATAGTTTCACACGTTTTCAAATGCAGAGATATTCTTTAAATCTTTTTTAAAAAACCTGTCCCATCACTAGGGATCTCATGCAGCATTGCATCTCACCAATACCCAACAGGAATAATGGTATTAGAATTTGACCCCTGTTTGTGTTGGGTATCACCTTACTCCACTTGATCCTCTTGATTTCAATGGGATTATTCATGGACTAAGAAATCTAGCCCAAATATTTTTATAGAAGTTTAGCATGCACCCCAAAAGGACAGAAAGACATTTAAACTAAAAAAAAATTGCTTAAAATGATTGTTTTATATATTAATTTAAACAGTGTTAAAGGTGGGCAAGTGCTCTCAAAAGGCTGACAAACTAAAACACCGAGCAAAACTTTTAAGCAAGAAGTGCTGTCAAATTGGTACTGGAAACAGTGTAAATGCTAGCATGGACACTAGCCTTCACAATTCCTTGACAAAAAGACTTGCTTCAACCAAGTCTTTTTGATACCCTATTGAAAATTATGTCCATTCTATGCCAGCAGTTAAACATTCAATACCCACTGTTCACAACTGTGAAGGTGTGCACATGGCTTCAACAACAACAAAAAATAGAGCAAAAAACTGATGCTAGCACAGTGGTTTTGTCAGTAGATGAAAGCAAGACATTTACCACCCCTCTCTCAAAAAATAACTGCACCAGCCTATGTGAAATAGCATCCTCTTGCATTTTCCCCAAATGCATGTACCCATCTTGCCCTCTCTTTGGTTGCACTGTTGTTCGCTGTTACGACGCAGCTCTATTTACCTCGCACCGCGGCTCTTTGTGTGTATTCTGCCCCTGTGGGATTGCCAGCAATCAATCGAGGGACACGCAGGGGCTGCCATCCCCTTTAGGGATTAATCAACGTTTGCAAAGCGCTCTGGGGGTGCAAAGCGCTGTGTAGATGCTCAGCGAGACCCAGGGTGATGGGGGAGAACAGCCCTGACATGTCTGACACAAACCCACTGCCAGCAAGATAATCACCCGGAGCCAATCCCGCCCGCCCCAGGCACAGAGAAGTCTGTGCCCCCAGCACAGAGACAGGGGAAGCAGAACCCAGACAGCTCAGGCTGGGGGGAGAAACCCAGACACCGACACCTCCTTACTGATGAGCAGCGAACACACCCACCGCAAAGGGGGCACGTTTGTGGGGAGCCTCGGGCCCTGGGGCCCCCTCGCCGGAGCATGGGGAGACCGGGGTTAAACACCGGTGGGGCGAAGGGTCCCACCGTGGGGAGCCGCCAGGACTAACCCCCGGTTGCGGCACGAAGGGGCCCCACCCGGGAAGCCGGCGAAGGATGGGCTGCGATCCCCAGGCAGCTCTGGCCACCCCAGCCCCGGCAGGGGAAAAGACCCAGCCCCGCCCGCTGCCCCCTCACTCACCGGCTGCGAGCTCTCCCCTCGGCCGAGCCCCGTCTCCGGCGGCCGGAGCAGCCACAGCCCCAACAGCACAATATGGCGAGCGGCAGCCTCCGCAATGGAGCTCGGGAAATAGAAGGGAGTTACATATTCATGGCCGGGGCCGGGCAGGGGGAGCGGGGATGGGACCGGGCTTCCCGAAGCCCCCTCCCCCGGCGGGGAGCGAGACTGCTCAGCTAGCGGGAACCCAGCCCTTCCCTCCCCTCACTCTCGGCTGCACAGCCCTCTTCAGCAGCTCCTTCGCGCCTCCGCCCCACCGGGCTGCTCAGCCTAGATCCAGCCCCCCAGTGCCACTGCCCCCCCAGGGCTGCACAGCCCCGCTCCCCCTCGCCAGCCCATCAGTGCTGCCCCCTGGCAGCACAACCTTCCTTGGCCTAGCTCCAGCCCCTCAGTGTCCCACCTCAGCCTAACTCCAGCAGCTCAGGCCCAAGCCCTGCACTCCCCCAGCCCCACCCAATGCCTTCATCTTCACTCTGCACTAACAGGCTGAAGCTCTGTGTTCCTTCCCTTTGGCTTCTCCCTTCAGGCTCCCCACCCCTCATCTTGGTTCAGCCTATTAGTGCAGAGCCCTATGCTTTGCTCACTCTCTATCCCCCATTTTACCTCTAACCCTCTGTTACAGAGCTCTTTGTTTTCACCCCCACATAACCTTTACCCCTAGGCATTGAAGCTTATACTGAACCCAAGGAATGCTCCCCCTTTACCCTCCCTAGCTGAGCTCCAGGTGTTCAGTGCAGAGCCTGGGCTGCCCCATTAGCACTCCCTGGGTGCTAATGCTTGGGCTCCTACCTAATCCTGAGGTTTAGCCTTCTATTCCTCCCCTCCTAGCGCCCCCCACCTCCACCCCTTGGCCCCTTAAGCTGAGCTCCAGACATGGAGATGCAGTACCCTCTATTCCTCTATCCTATCCCAACTCTCCCAGCTGAGCTCCAAGTTTCCTTTAGCTGAGTCCAAAATGTAACTACTACAGCAGAAACCCTTTTCTACTGTTTTGTATTATTCAATACTTTCCAGATGATGAAACTGAACCAAGGAATAGAAAATACTTTTCAGCACTCCTCCCTTTCTTTGTTCAACATCACACACTTGAATTAAGAAACTGAACCAGTGAAGCCCACTGGAGGAGGAAGATGCAATACAATATGAGGATACCAGGAGGGAGCAGTAGCTTTTTATTGTGCTATAATAAGACATGTTGGGCTGCATTTGTGTTTTCACATTTACCTACCACTGACTTCAAGAGACAGCTTATATCTGATTTCCAGATGAGACCTTGAACGGGGGTCTGCAGTACTTGTCATTAGATAGCTCATGGTCTTTCTGGCAATACTTGTCTCACTGTGTCCGAGTGCCAGTTTGGGTAACTACCTTTTACCTGCCTACATTTTTCTCCTGCAATTTCAGTAGGATGTGTTCCATTCTTTTCTCTCCTTAAAAGTTTTCTTGTATTATGTGGATTGCATGTGTGAGACATGAAATATATCTGTTTGTGAATCACCATGCAAAGCTAAAGGAGTATATAAATTCCTAAACACACACACATACACTCACACACACACAAAAGTTAAGATAGAATTAAGGTTGCGACAATGTCCCTAATATGGGGGGGGGGAATTACAGAGTTATTGTAGTTACCCCCAAAACAATTACAGATTCAGGAAAGTCTGATTTCCTGTGAAACCATTATGAGTGCATTTTAGTGTTCGTGGTTCCAGATTAAACTGTTTTTTACAGACATTTGTGTTTATTTCATAGTTTTTCCTCATGGTGTCACTCCAGTTGTTGAAGTACTAGTATAACTTCTGTTGTTATAAACTCTACTTAAGGCCTGGTCTACACTACGAGTTTAGTTAGAATTTAGCAGCATTAAATCAAATTAACCCTGCACCCGTCCACACAACGAAGCCATTTACTTCGACATAAAGGGCTCTTAAAATCGATTTCTGTACTCCTCCCCAACGAGGGGAGTAGCGCCGAAATCGACATTGCCATTTCGAATTAGGGTTAGTGTGGCCACAATTCGACGGTATTGGCCTCCGGGAGCTATCCCACAGTGCACCATTGTGACCGCTCTGGACAGCAATCTGAACTCGGATGCACTGGCCAGGTAGACAGGAAAAGCCCCGCGAACTTTTGAATTTAATTTCTTGTTTGCCCAGCGTGGAGAGCACAGGTGACCACGCAGAGCTCATCAACACAGGTAACCATGCAGTCTGAGAATCGAAAAAGAGCACCAGCATGGACCGTACGGGAGGTACTGGATCTGATCGCTGTATGGGGAGAGGATTCCGTGCTAGCAGAACTACGTTCCAAAAGACGAAATGCCAAAACATTTGAAAAAATCTCCAAGGGCATGATGGAGAGAGGCCACAATAGGGACTCACTACAGTGCCGCATGAAAGTTAAGGAGCTCAGACAAGCCTACCAGAAAACCAAAGAAGCAAACGGAAGATCCAGGTCAGAGCCGCAGACATGCCGCTTCTACGCTGAGCTGCATGCAATTCTAGGGGGGGCCGCCACCACTACCCCACCCTTGACCGTGGATTCCGAGGAGGGGGTAATCTCAGCCATGCCTGAGGATTCTGCGGACAGGGAAGATGAGGAGGAGGAAGAGGATGACGAGCTTTCGGAGAGCACACAGCACTCCGTTCTCCCCAACAGCCAGGATCTTTTTCTCAGCCTGACTGAAGTACCCTCCCAAGGCATTATCCCAGACCATGAAGCCATGGAAGGGACCTCTGGTGAGTGTACCTTTGTAAATATAAAACATGGTTTAAAAGCAAGCTTTTTTTAATGATTAATTTGCCCTGAGGACTTGGGATGCATTCATGGCCAGTACAGCTACTGGAAAAGTCTGTTAATGTGTCTGGGGATGGAGCGGAAATCCTCCAGGGACATCTCCATGAAGTTCTCCTGGAGGTACTCCAAAAGCCTTTCCAGAAGGTTTCAGGGCAGTGCAGCCTTATTCCGTCCTCCATGGTAGGACACTTGACCACGCCGTGCTAGTAGCAAGTAATCTGGTATCATTGCATGACAAAGCCTGGCAGCGTATGGTCCCGGTGTTTGCTGGCATTCAAGCAACATCCGTTCATAATCTCGCTGTGTTATCCTCAGGAGAGTGATATCGTTCATGGTAACCTGGTTGAAATACAGGAATTTAATTAAGGGGACAGAGGTGACCGTTCCTACTGGGCTGTTTGCCTGTGGCTGAAAAGAAATCCTTCCCTGCAGTTAGCCAAGCCGGGTGTGTGGGGGGGATCATTGGCGCTGAGCTTTTCGCGTTTGGCTAGCAGGGATCTTCCCTGATACCAGCCACGCAGTGGGGGGAGGGGTAAAGAGATCATCCCAGAGAATTGGATGGGGGAGGTTAAGTTTGGTTTCTGCAGGGATCTTCCCTGATATAAGCCACACGGTGGGGGGAGGGATAAAGCGATCATCCCAGAGAATTGGATGTGGCGGGGGGTTAAGTTTGGTTTCTGCTGCTGCACATTAACAGGAAAACCACAGCACTCAACGGGCTTTGCTTGGTATGTGGGGAAAAAAGGGCGCTGCTTTTAGGAAGGTTGCAGAAGCCAACAGACAATGGCTTACCATGGTTGCATGCAAGCCGAATTCTGTTGCCCGGACCTGCGTCTGTGATCTCTAACACGAAAGCCGCAGGCACTCAATATTAAGATGCAAAATGCGACCTTGTACCGAAATCACATGTGCTGTGTAATGTGAATAGTGTTGTTCACCGTGAAAGAGTATAAGCATTGTTCTGTAAAATGTATCTTTTTAAATACTTCTCTCCCTTTTTTCCCTCCCTCCCGCAGCTGCAAATTTTTCAAGCCTCCCTCCTCCATCCCAAAGGCTATCTCAGATAAGGCGGCGAAAAAAACGGACACGAGACGACTTGTTCTCGGAAATCATGCAATCGACCCACGATGAAAGAGCTCATCTGAATGAGTGGAAGGACACAGTATCAAAGTTCAGGAAAGATGCCAGTGAACGTGAGGACAGGAGGGACCAATGTGAGGACATGAGGGACCAACGTGAGGACAGCAGGGACCAATGTGAGAAGAGGAGAGACGCTCGAGATGAGAGGTGGCGGGATGCAACGCTGCTGCTGCGTGAGCAAACGGACATGCTCCGGCGTCTGGTGGAGCTTCAGGAACGGCAGCAGGATCACAGAGTGCCGCTGCAGCCCTTGTATAACCACCCTCCCCCCTCACCGTGTTCCATAGCCTCCTCACCCAGACGTGTAAGAACGCGGAGGGGGGGACGGGACTCCGTGCACCCTCCCACTCCATCCCAGTGGACAGCCCAAGCAAAAGGCTGTCATTATTTTGAACTTTTTTAGTGGCCTTTTCCTTCCCTCCTATCCTCCTCCCAAACCCCACCCAGGCTACCTTTTCAGTTCTCTCCCTCTTTTTATAATCGATTAATAAAGAATACATGATTTTTAAACGATAGTGACTATTTCCTTTGAAAGCAAGCTGTGATTGAAGGGGAGGATGGGTTGCTTACAGAGAATGAGTCAATCAAGGGGGCGGGTTTTCATCAAGGAGAAACAAACAGAACTTTCACACGGTAGCCTGGCCAGTCATGAAACTGGTTTTCAAAGCTTCTCTGATGCGCAGCGCTTCCTGGTGTGCTCTTCAAATCGCCCTGGTGTCTGGCTGCATGTAATCAGCGGCCAGGCGATTTGCCTCAGCCTCCCACCCACCATAAAGGTCTCCCCCTTACTCTCACAGAGATTGTGGAGCACACAGCAAGCAGCAATAACAGTGGGAATATTGGTTTGGCTGAGGTCTGAGCAAGTCAGTAACGTGCGCCAGTGACCCTTTAAACATCCAAATGCACATTCTACCACCATTCTGCACTTGCTCACCCTGTAGTTGAACAGCTCCTGACTACTGTCCAGGCTGCCTGTGTATGGCTTCATGAGCCATGGCATTAAGGGGTAGGCTGGGTCCCCAAGGACAACTATAGGCATTTCAACATCCCCAATGGTTATTTTGTGGTCTGGGAAGTAAATCCCTTGCTTCAGCCATTTAAACAGAGTAGTGTTCCTGAAGACGCGAGCGTCGTGAACCCTTCCCGGCCATCCCATGTTGATGTTGGTGAAACGTCCCTTGTGATCCACCAGTGCTTGCAGCACCATTG